TGTATGTATGTACATGTATATGCATACACACATTCCTCACATACCTACATAAACAATATCTGCCCTCCAGGCAAGCTTTGGGCTAACACCTGCAGCGATGCCCGTGGAATCCTTCAAAAGGGTCTCCACGAAAACATCTGAAGGTAGGAGGCTCGCCTAGAAAGCACCTGACACCAAACTGGGTCACCTGTGGCATCAACTGCAGCAAGCAGTCAGCCAGTCTGCATGCAGGGCACGTGCTTGCATGGCCTCCACACAGGCTGTACTCCTTTATCTGGCCGCCCTTGGCACATCAGAAAAGAAGCTGAACTGCAACTCGTTTGATTCCATGCTGATGATTAAATCGGGCACGTGGGTCTCTCGTAGGACCCCGCTAGACCTGAAATAAAACCCTGCACCGGGCTTCTGACTTGCAGCTCCTATGAGTTACATCCTAAACCCTAAACCCTAAACCCTAAACCCCAAACCCTAAACCCTAAACCCTAAACCGAATGAATGCAGGCAGGCTTCTGCTCGGAACTCGTGCAGAATCAGCTCCTGGCTTGTCTCAGGACAAACGGAGCGAACGCGGCACCTAATTCCCTTGTTGCCAACTGCTGTGCCGGGAAGTGGCAAGAACTATGGTCTTGTGTGTGTTCCTCGCACGCGATGATCTGTCGCTCTCCCTCCCTCTCTCTGTCTCACTCATTCTTTTCTCAAAATGCTTTGTCTTTTCGTGTTCGCCCGTCGTCTGATGGAACCGATATTTATCCGCAACAGGCCGTTTACCTTCACAGGCCGCCGGCAAAAGTTCCTGAGCGCGCCTCACATGTTGCACCGTCGAACAATTCACATATGCTGGTGAAGACTCGTCTCATTGCGGACCTGGAACACAGGGCAAAGACATCTTCGCATGGTATCTCGAAGGTTCCTCCAGTGGTCTTCTCTCTCTGTCCAACGAATCAAGCTGGTTGGATCCTCGACATTCATCCGTGATGATTGAAGATGAAGTATACCCCAACGGGTCGACAGATCGTCGACCATCTGGCTGTGCTCGGAAAATTGAACTGATCGTGCTGAGCGGGCAAACCAAACTCCCGTCCCTCGCTCCCTCGCTCTCTCTCTCTCTCT